TCACTGACCTCTTCTGGTTCCTCCACTACTTCCTCAGTTTCTACAGGTTTACCATCAATCATCACAATCTTTTTGATGATTCTCCTCCTGATGATTCTATGCACAGTTGTTGTGGTTACTTCATCAGGTTCTGTGATGGTCTCAGTGATAACTGATTCTCCTGGTTTTGCCTCGATCATTTCCCCGGTTACTTCCTCAGGCTCTTCCACAACCTCTTCAGTCTCAACAGGTTTACCATCGACCATAATGATCTTCTTAATGATTCTTCTCCTGATGATTTTATGTCCTGTGATGGCCTCCATTGTAACAGAGTCTTTTGGTAAGGTTTGCAGCATCTCTTCACTGACCTCTTCTGGTTCCTCCACTACTTCCTCAGTTTCTACAGGTTTACCATCAATCATCACAATCTTTTTGATGACTCTCCTCCTGATGATTCTACGCACAGTTGTTGTGGTTACTTCATCAGGCTCAGTGATAATCTCTGTGCTAATTCCTTCTCTTGGTGCTCCCTCACCAATCTCATCTGTTACTTCCTCAGGCTCCTCAACAATCTCCTCTGTCTCTACTGGTTTACCATCTACCATGACAATCTTCTTTATTCTGCGACGCACAACTGTCCTGACGGTGGTGGTTGTCAAGTCAGGATCACTTGTTGTTCGAGTGATGACTGAGTCTACTGGAAGATTACCCTGCATCAGTTCATCTGATATGTCTTGAGGATCTTCTAATTCCTCAATCTCAACTGGTTTTCCATCAATCATGACAATCTTCTTTATTCTGCGACGCACAACTGTCCTGACGGTGGTGGTTGTCAAGTCAGGATCACTTGTTGTTCGAGTGATGACTGAGTCTACTGGAAGATTACCCTGCATCAGTTCATCTGATATGTCTTGAGGATCTTCTAATTCCTCAATCTCAACTGGTTTTCCATCAATCATGACAATCTTCTTTATTCTGCGACGCACAACTGTCCTGACGGTGGTGGTTGTCAAGTCAGGATCACTTGTTGTTCGAGTGATGACTGAGTCTACTGGAAGATTACCCTGCATCAGTTCATCTGATATGTCTTGAGGATCTTCTAATTCCTCAATCTCAACTGGTTTTCCATCAATCATGACAATCTTCTTTATTCTGCGACGCACAACTGTCCTGACGGTGGTGGTTGTCAAGTCAGGATCACTTGTTGTTCGAGTGATGACTGAGTCTACTGGAAGATTACCCTGCATCAGTTCATCTGATATGTCTTGAGGATCTTCTAATTCCTCAATCTCAACTGGTTTTCCATCAATCATGACAATCTTCTTTATTCTGCGACGCACAACTGTCCTGACGGTGGTGGTTGTCAAGTCAGGATCACTTGTTGTTCGAGTGATGACTGAGTCTACTGGAAGATTACCCTGCATCAGTTCATCTGATATGTCTTGAGGATCTTCTAATTCCTCAATCTCAACTGGTTTTCCATCAATCATGACAATCTTCTTTATTCTGCGACGCACAACTGTCCTGACGGTGGTGGTTGTCAAGTCAGGATCACTTGTTGTTCGAGTGATGACTGAGTCTACTGGAAGATTACCCTGCATCAGTTCATCTGATATGTCTTGAGGATCTTCTAATTCCTCAATCTCAACTGGTTTTCCATCAATCATGACAATCTTCTTTATTCTGCGACGCACAACTGTCCTGACGGTGGTGGTTGTCAAGTCAGGATCACTTGTTGTTCGAGTGATGACTGAGTCTACTGGAAGATTACCCTGCATCAGTTCATCTGATATGTCTTGAGGATCTTCTAATTCCTCAATCTCAACTGGTTTTCCATCAATCATGACAATCTTCTTTACAATTCTCCTAATGACTTGATGGGTGGTTATGGTAGGTGCCACTGATGGTTCCTGAACTTCTTCAGCAGAATCCAAGAACTCTCCTTCATCCTTCAGGATCTGCATTCTCTTTGGCACAAATTCTCTTGTGGGAGCAGTCACATCAGGCTCATAAACAGATTCCAGGAGCACATTGTCCTTTTCAACTAACTCCTCTGACACTGAGATAGGATCCTCCACAACTTCCTCAGTCTCTACTGGTTTACCATCTACCATGACAATTTTCTTGATTATTCTTTTCTTTATTATCTTCCTAACTGTTGTAAATATCTCAGATTCTGCAGATGATTCAGGTATTACAGACTGTTTAGCATAATCCTCAAGATTTTCAAGTGTGGTGTCTACAGGTTCTTCAATGAATTCCTCAGTTTCAACTGGCTGACCATCTACCATGACAATCTTCTTTATTCTGCGACGCACAACTGTCCTGACGGTGGTGGTTGTCAAGTCAGGATCACTTGTTGTTCGAGTGATGACTGAGTCTACTGGAAGATTACCCTGCATCAGTTCATCTGATATGTCTTGAGGATCTTCTAATTCCTCAATCTCAACTGGTTTTCCATCAATCATGACAATCTTCTTTACAATTCTCCTAATGACTTGATGGGTGGTTATGGTAGGTGCCACTGATGGTTCCTGAACTTCTTCAGCAGAATCCAAGAACTCTCCTTCATCCTTCAGGATCTGCATTCTCTTTGGCACAAATTCTCTTGTGGGAGCAGTCACATCAGGCTCATAAACAGATTCCAGGAGCACATTGTCCTTTTCAACTAACTCCTCTGACACTGAGATAGGATCCTCCACAACCTCTTCAGTCTCTATTGGTTTACCATCTACCATGACAATGGACTTGATGCTCCTTCTACGAACAGTTCTGACGACAGTGGTTGTTCCCTCGGGCTCCACATCAGTAGCCTGATCAGTTGGCTCTTCAACCACTTCTTCAGTCTCAACCGGCATACCGCCGATCATGACGACGTTCTTAATGCTTCTCCTTCTCATCACTTTGTAAACAGTTGTTTCAGTTGTTTCAGGTTCCGTGGTCACATCGGCTTCTTGCTGCACTTGTTCTTTTACTACACTGATGGGCTGATCCTCTTGTTTTAAAGCAATTGTACTCTCACTCTCTTTCTCTGAGTCCTGGCTATCAGAAGGTAACCGCTTCCTTTCATTCTCCAGGATCTCCTATAATAGATTTCAGCACATGTTAACTGATGCACACCTGCTGTTGCAAATGTACTTAGATGATTTTTAATCAATGCTTCCTGATGCACTTTTAGCTGAAGAGAAAGGGGATCACAAAGGGATATGAACAGGGGATGAGGACAATCATAATTTGTGAATCATAAAATCTATGCAGGAAATCAGGAAGAGGAATAGGAAAAGGAAGTAAGGATAGTTGGAGGAATAAAGAAGGATGGTCAAGAAGGCAGATTTAGGATACATAGGGACAGGAAGGACGATGCTGGCAGATGCGTACCTTCAGCTGGTGCAGACGATTCTGAAGCACAAGGCGTGTGTCACAGATGGTCTGACTCAGGAAGGCAAGGTGGTCAGTCATCTCTTGAGCCAGTGACTGGATGTGTGCATCACCTTGCACACGCTCACATTTGCTTCGTAGTTCAGTGAGCTGATTTTCACGGCGAACCAAGTCTCGCTGAAGATTCTATAAACAAATATAAGCTCTTTGAAAACAATGTGACAAACACATACACACTTAAGCTGTATTTAAGCACTGGAGTGACTTCTCTCTTCAACACTCAACCTACCAACCACTTCTTAAATCAAATTTGTTTTGTATTCAGATAAGAGATGCATAATTACTTTTCTTTACTAGGCATTGAGTATTGTGCATAATCTGACTTCAATTAAAATCTCAATATATATAATATGAAAAAAATAAAAAATCTTAACAGTCGATATACTTAGAAATCAATAATGATCCTGATATGGGTTAACAAAGATAGCAAATCTATGAGTGGATATAGTATCATTAATAACTCACTGGGTAGAACATGTACTTCTGATACAATGAAAATAAATAATAGTAATTATAAGTTTTTTTCATAAATAGAACTCTTAGTATCAAAACAAGTAAATCCACACAATACATACATGTTATCCGAGTTATTAAATTATAGTCATAAAAAGGATAATGTATATAACTCATAATACTGACCTGTGACTCATCACTTAGAAATAATTAAATTATTTTATTTATAGAAGCCAGGGAGAATGTTCTCATAACAAGTAAATGCCTTTCTAAGATTTTAAAACAATCAAATGTTTAACCTGAGTTACATATTATTTTATCTTAGGATGTCATAGTCATTATCAAATTTTTTTTATATGATTGGACGTTTGTATGATGAGTTATAAATATTTTCATGAGCAAGTTTGACTGATAAAGCTCATACTGTGGTAAAGCAGTTACAGAAAACTAGATAATGCTTTGACTAAGCCTAATCACATATTAATCCAATTTCTTAATTAAAATGTTTCCTAATTAAGATTAACTGTCAAGTGTAAGATTACTTGAGAGTAATTTTGTTAATTGGCTTTTAATCTCTCTATCTTTCTGGCTTAGAACTTCATAATATATCTCTTAAAGGCATTATTGATTTTGGATGTTGTTAATGTACAGCTACTGGGATACTAATATTGCATATCAGGTTAACTCTAAACTTCAAAGTCAAATAGTGACAATAAACTTGCATTTAAACAATAAATAAAAGGTTTGATAATATGAAGATAATAATATCTTAAAAAATGGGCAGGGGAAATTAATAAATAAATGAGAACAAAAAAAAATACATAATACTAGTTTTAGAAGTGGTTGGTATGGATATCTGTTACCATGCACATTCCTGGGGAAGGGGTGATCAGCCTCAGTTGCCCAGCTGGTTTTCATGTGCGTTACCGATAGAAATACTAATACGGTGAGTGTACATGCATGGTGTCTTCATGGGGCAAAGGACGGAAGCACCGAACTAATGAGGAAATGGAGTCTGACATTATATGAAAAATATCCCTGATGTATGTTAACAAAGCTATCAAAAAAATGTTACCAAAATATTAATGTATATGAAACTTTTAATCAGTTCTATCTGTAAATCATGAAGAAAAAGAAGAAGAAGGAGAAGAGGAAAAATGAATATACATAATTATCCAAAAATATATTGTCAGACTCCATCTTTTTGCTCTGGCTTTGCTTGAAAATGCATATCTTCCCTCTCCGTACCTGGTTGAGAGTTATTTGCTCACGGATGGCAGTCACGGATCCAAGGCAGACATCAGCTGTGATCTGTGAGTAGGTTTCCGTGACCCAACATTCGAGGTCTTGGAGAAGTTGCTGGTACTCGATGAGGTGGAACTTCTGCTGTTCAGATTCACTCTGCTTCGTCTGTGGAGCAACAGGAAACTCAGCTCTCTGAAGATTTCTTTTTATGGTTATGGTGGCTTGGGAGTATTAATATGGAATATATAATGCTACACTACCGTAAATATATAATATATATATTTATATATGTATATATATGTATATATATATATATATATATATATATATATATATATATAATTTATATAATATATATATTTATATATGTGTATATATATATATATATATATATATATATATATATATATATATATATATATATATATATATATATATATAATTTATATAATATATATATTTATATATGTATATATATGTATATATATATATATATATATATATATATATATATATATATATATATATATATAATTTATATAATATATATATTTATATATGTGTATATATATATATATATATATATATATATATATATATATATATATATATATATATATACACACACACACACACACACACACACACACACACACACACACACACACACACACACACACACACACACACACACACACACACACACACACACACACACACACACACACACACACACACACACACACACACACACACACACACACACACACACACACACACACACACACACACACACACACACACACACATATATAATATATACATATTATATATACATATATATATAATATATATGTATATATAATATATACATATATAAACATGTATATATACATATATATACGTGTATATATACATATATGTATCTCTCTCTCTCTCTCTCTCTCTCTCTCTCTCTCTCTCTCTCTCTCTCTCTCTCTCTCTCTATATATATATATATACATATATATACATGTACATACATACATACATACATACATACAGACACAAACTTACTTCAATATCATTCTTCTTTCCTTCGGCCTCAGAGCGCAGGGTCTTCAAGCGTGTCTTGAGCCCCGAGACAGTGGCAAGCATGTTGAGCATCTCTGAATCCTGCTCCATTGTGCGGCCCTTCTCCAGCAGGTTGCTCAGGTCTTCCTCCATCTTCCGCATCTCGATGAGAAGAGTCTGCGGTTGAGGAAGAGGTTGC